ATTTATTAAACAAATTCATCAATATATGCTATACAATTACATAGTACATAGTATTAGTCTAAGATCCGAACCTAAGTCGACCTTCACCGAGCTGATAATAGAACGAAATATATTTTATCATGAATTTAGTTTATTAGAAAACATATTAAAAATGGGTTGCCTAAAAAAATCCTGGGCAGACTATTTTTAATTATTTTTCGAAAAATTATTTTTAATTAAATGTTGCAACATCAGGATAATAAAAAAATTGTGTCCTGACTGAAAGTATGAAACGTATAGAATGTGCAGCCGTTGGGGTGTCTACTATTTACCTGGGCGAACTACTGGGTTGTCAGGTAAACACAGGTATATCGATGCCAGTTACTTTCACTGGATTGGATAATTTAAAAAAATGTATATCATCATAAGCGCTGTTTAATTGCGAACACGTTGATATAGGGTTGTCTGCGAAAATTCCGGTCCGATTAGGGGTTTTTAATTTCAACGCGCGTGGAAGTGTGTGACAGAGAGATCCGAGGTAAGTATACTGTGTGATAATAAAGGACCCAACATCGCAGTCGCTTGTGATGGGACCCTGAATAGTAGAAAGTGCGCATGCTCGGTGTGTAAACTATGGAGGGTAGAGGTACCTCTACTACCCTTCATATAGTAAACAGTGCGTGTTATTTTGGAGCAACTGATATTTCAGTAGCAAAAAAAAATAATTAATTAATTACATAATAATTAAATATATTTAATATAATACTAATATATAAAAACAATATAATATCAGTATATTGCGTTATAACCATAATGATATATCTATAATCTATAATAGACAATAAAAATATCAAATACTTACTTTGAAATTTTTTTGCTCTTTCTGGAAATAGAAACAAAGTGGACCGCCAAAAATTTAAATTAAGAAATAACAAAAAAGATAGACTAGACATCTTGTATTACGATTTGAAATTTTATTAAAAAACAGTATAAATACAAAAATAATATTAATGAAAAATAAATTCTAATAAATATTTTCTATTCAATATCTGATTCATCAGAAGTATCATTTTGACTCTCGAATTCGTCTGATTCATTAGATTCTTCCTCATTTGCTTCCATTTCGACAATGTCCTGGATTTTCAAAGGAGTTTGATCTCCGATAAAACCTGTTGGTTTTAAGAAATCATCAAAATGCCAACCATAGTTTTCAGGATTTGACTTCGCACACTTTCTACTATTCAGGGTCCCATCACAAGCGACTGCGATGTTGGGTCCTTTATTATCACACAGTATACTTACCTCGGATCTCTCTGTCACACACTTCCACGCGCGTTGAAATTAAAAACCCCTAATCGGACCGGAATTTTCGCAGACAACCCTATATCAACGTGTTCGCAATTAAACAGCGCTTATGATGATATACATTTTTTTAAATTATCCAATCCAGTGAAAGTAACTGGCATCGATATACCTGTGTTTACCTGACAACCCAGTAGTTCGCCCAGGTAAATAGTAGACACCCCAACGGCTGCACATTCTATACGTTTCATACTTTCAGTCAGGACACAATTTTTTTATTATCCTGATGTTGCAACATTTAATAAAAAATAATTTTTCGAAAAATAATTAAAAATAGTCTGCCCAGGATTTTTTTAGGCAACCCATTTTTAATATGTTTTCTAATATACTAAATTCATGATAAAATATATTTCGTTCTATTATCAGCTCGGTGAAGGTCGACTTAGGTTCGGATCTTCTACTATATTGTTTAACTATATTTTAGAATTATTTATGTTAATATTGAATGTGCAGTTTTGAGCAGCACTTATATGAACACCATTGGAAGAAGATAGGGTTTGAACAGGAGCTTTAGTATTTGAAATATTTTCGCTTAGCACATTGTAATGGTGGTAATTTCTAGAAGTGCTTGGCTGATTTTGATCAAGTTCAGGTTCTACATTATTTCCCATAATTTGGTCAGAAATGTTTCTTTTTTTTTGTGTTTGATTGTTCCACATAACCTTCTGCGATATTGGTTGATTTCCAACCGCCATGCTGTTTTAGAGCTAAAATATCCCCACCAGCGTTTACTAACAGAGTTGCTGAAGTTCTTCTGAAACTGTGCCCTGTGTAATGTTCGGCATTTGGAAGATTGAGATATTGTGCAATTTTTTGTGGTATTTTGGATATACTATTCTTGCCAACCACTTGATTTATACATTTGCCTGCTTTAAAGCATACCAACAATCGTTTATGCTCAGTTTTAGGACGTAGACAGATATACTTTTTAACGATTTGAACAAAATTTGGGCCGTTACCTGTTGTAGTATTGATAACGAAAGTTCGTTGTTTATACGCCGTTTTTGAAGTGGGGATATTTATTACTAAAAGATTGTCTTTGTCTTCAATATCATCCATTGTCATTTTAATAAGCTCATCACATCGACATGCTCCAGAAATTCCAATAACAAGGACTACCTATGAATATTTTATATCAAAAATTAAATTATTTGCATGGGATTTCATTTCTTACCTTCATTAATAAAAAAACATCATCGGGGGCTTCCATTAAGAATGTATTTATTGCTTCTCTTGTAAAAGTTTCAGCTTTATTTGGTTTGTATCCGGCATTTTGACGTTTTAGAAATGCAATCAACTTTGGATATTTAATATCGACATTGTCCTTCATTTGTATCATTGTGCGTAGCATTGAATATTTAGACCAAAGTGTTGATGCTTTTATGATTTTCCTTGTTGTGAAAAATATGCCAGTAAAACATTCTCTGAATATTTATGTATCTTGTTGTCTTCAGCCCATTGCTTATATTGTGCATATTGTTTTTCATACCTGTCTTTAGATTTTTGTGGTAGTAAGGTTAATGACGCTATGTTGGCTTGTTCCTCAATATTAGGTGGTGTATTTGGAAATTCAAAATCACTTGAATCCTAGGGAGGAAAAGTATGACTTTCCTCCCTGATTCGAGGGAGGAAAGTGTGTACTTTCTATAGGGGTAGGAGGAAAAAAAAGTATCATTAACGACGGTGAGAAGATGAGATGCATATTTATTTGCCGGTATTATCTGAAATGAACCGAAAAAAATGGAGGAGCAATTTAAGAAATCAGACATCTGGTTCCAAAGAGAAATTGTCTGACAGAAAATCGATTTCGCCACACTCAATTCGAAAGACATTTCGACTTCATATACAGTGTGTCTCACTTATAATGGAAACACCCCTGTATCTTACGTATTCGTTGGGTAGGGATCCTGAAATTTGCTGGAGCGGGAGATATACCAAAAATGCACTCTATGACCAAGTTAGGTCATCTTCAGTGATATACACTGCTCTGCAACAGCCATGGAACCACCCCGATTTCCGGAAAATTATATTATAAATAGGTTGAAAATCACTTCGGATCCCTACCCAACGAATACGTAAGATACAGGGGTGTTTCCATTATGAGTAAGACACACTGTATAAGGTGTATCACCGTGGATGGAACATTATAGAAATATCTATGAAAAACAGCGTCAGATCATTTCGAAAATTTGTGGGCCTAGGTGATCTAATATTATATGCTCTATTCGTTTAAAATATTTTCATCAATACAGTGTTGCACATTATATCAGAAATAAAATAGCTACTTTGCTATGTCAAAAATAGAAGACCGCTTATATTATTATTTCCCTCTTCAAATTCTTATAACACTCCACAAACGTTTTTTCGATAATTTGCAAAACCTATATGTGACGGATTTCGCGATGAAAATTATTTTGTCAAATTTTTGTTTCAAACCTGACCCTTGAAAAATGACGAGTTTTTCATAATGCAAATTCATAAGATATTGCTATTCAGGTCATTTCTGCATGAGACAACCAGGAATTCTGCTGATGAAATGAAATGAATGAAATCTATGAATGAGATTGTCACAAACAACAGTGAAAAACGTATCAAAGCACCTCTGGTTGAGTACAGTTATAGAAAAAGAAGATTATAACTCAAACTAGAAACTGCCCACATAGAAAAATGTCAAATTTTCAGTAAACCAGCAGCATTGTCAGAAAGAATAGTATATTGTTTGACAAGTACGGAATGATAGTCATTTCCCATAGCTCATGCTGCAAATCATACGAGTAAGAAATCAGCATTCCGTACGAGTTATACACTATACTTTTTCTACGGCAGTAACAGATAATAGCGATTTTTTTTATTTCTTCGGTTTGTAGCCATCTGATTTTCTCTTGTAATGATCTAAGTTTTGGTTGATTTCCGATGTCCATCAGAGTTTTGTTAATATTCAGCATAGTCCATAACATGGAATACTGTGCCCATAAAGTTGAGGGTTTCAATTTCTGAGATAATTCACTAAATTATGCGAGTAGGACAGTTTCCGAATTTGACGCGGTATGACATTTTCCCTTTGCCAAACTATAAAAGGCTTTTCCACATTTTTCCTTTGATAATTCTGGAATTAAACTTAAACATGCCTGATTTGCGGCAGCAGTTATTTCTGGAGGAATTAGTTCTGAATCACCTTCGCTGGTTATCATAATATGATTTCGTGATATTTCACAATAAATTAAACCGAACTGTCATTGCTTGAAATTTGACATTCCATGCGGCATGCGGGAGATGAGATTTACTGTGGAATTACTTCATTGTGTTATAAGATAATGGAATGAAATTGAAGACATTGATTTATCGAAAACAATGAAGAAAGGGCCATTTCATGTTATAGCCGTAGAAAAAGGCATATTTTGGGTCTATGATGAGACAATATATATTATTCAACCTCGCTTACTAGGTTTTTCATTTAGAACAATAATAGTCTGAATTACAGACGAGTTTATTATGGAGATTCTCCAAAGCTGTATTAGTACTCATAATACGAAATCCATGTTGACTTCCAGATAATAATATATTATGTTGATTTAAGAATGAGTAGTACTGACTTTTTATATTAATCTCGATGATTTTAAAAAAGTTACAATGTAAGCTGACAGTTGTATAATTAGCAAGATCGTTGCAATGAGCTTTTTCGTATCGAGACATTAACTCGACTAGTTTGAGACAGTATAGAAGAGTACCTCGTTTCAAAGTTTATGTCAAGAACACCAGAGATAAGCGAATGGGGTCCATGTAAGTTTTGATCCGAGTTTTGTCAAACATTCCAAATTTTTTCCTATACACAAAGTTGAAATTGTTATTTACTCACCAAGGTAATAAAGAATATCATTATTACCCAGAGACCAATATTATATCCCGGGTATAATAAGTATACAGTGTGTCCCACTTACCATGCTCACCATGGGTATCTTTTAAACGGTGAGAGATACGAGGTCGGTTAAATGACACCAAATGTGGAGTTTTTCAAGGCCAACTATAATGTGAAAAAAAAAATTTTGATAAAATCTATTCGTTTTTGTTATATACGCAAAAAACAGATTTTGACAATTTCATGTCTCCTCCGTAACTTCTTTATTTATGAAAATATTCAAATAAGAATTTCACATTCTCATGGCAGTTTTTCAAAGTGATTTCGAAAAAAATATGAAATTTATACCAACTCTTCTAGAATTTGAGATATCAGCACCAACTTTAGTTTTTCAAATGTAGGTCATAGCTCACTATGACTTAGTTACGAATAACTTTTTTTTTCTCTTCCAGATGATATGTCGCAGTAATAGTTTTGTGTTGATAACAACGGAGTTATCGTCATTTATACAAGAACAAAAAATTATTTGGAAGCCGCCATCTTGAATTTATAAATTTTTAACAAAAAAATCATGATCTGCGACCTCAAAAACCCCCACTTACCAATTTTGAATGGAATCGGACCAAATCTTGTCCGCCATCTTGGAGCAGCCATTTTTTTTAATTTCAACAAAAATTCCATAATGTATTGTCACCGAAATTATGAACACCTGTCAAATTTCAAGTTTATCGGAGTTGAATTTTTGTTGAAATTGAAAAAAAAAGGCTGCTCCAAGATGGCGGACAAGATTTGGTCCGATTCCATTCCAAATTGGTAAGTGGGGGTTTTTGAGGTCGGAGATCATGTTTTTTTTGTTGAAATTGATAAATTCAAGATGGCGGCTTCCAAATAATTTTTTGTTCCTGTATAAATGACGATAACTCCGTTGTTATCAACACAAATATATTACTGCGACATATCATCTGGAAGAGAAAAAAAAGTTATTTGTAACTAAGTCATAGTGAGCTATGACCTACATTTGAAAAACTAAAGTTGGTGCTGATATCTCAAATTCTAGTAGGGATGGTATAAATTTCATATTTTTTTCGGAATCACTTCGAAAAACTGCCATAAGAATGTGAAATTCCTATTTGAATATTTTCATGAATAAAGAAGTTACGGAGGAGACATGAAAATGATCAAAATCTGTTTTTAGCGTATGAAACAAAAACGAATAGATTTTATCAAAATGTTTTTTCACATTATAGTTGGCCCTGACAAACTCCACATTTGGTGTCATTTAACCGACCTCGTATCTCTCACCGTTAAAAAGATACCCATGGTGAGCATGGTAAGTGGGACACACTGTATTTCGAAAATTATAGTTTATGGATACTGAAATATAGACATATTGTCACTATCCATAATTCTTTTCAATTCTGATTGAAATCTAGTAGCCATGACGAGGCCTGGGGAAAATACCGATAAAGATATCGATATATCGAATATCGATATACAGGGTGTTTCTTAAGTACGTGTAGAAAATTCAGGAGCTTGTTGCTGACGTCAAAATGAGAAGAGAAGTTCGTATAAATATATGTCCGAAAGTTATTCGTTTCTGAGATACAAAGTGTCAAAGTTGAATTCTTATTTTTGTTTTATGTTAATAAATTTCAAAATAATTGTGATATTGGAGTAGAATATGGTATCTAGGGGTATTTTTCAATGACAATATCAAATTTTATGTAATTTTGTCTCTTTCGTGGGGGTGGCGCCACCTACATGTCTTTTGAGTCTTTTGAAAAGTCATAACTTTTTTGTGCGTATAACGTTTCGTAGTAGCAAAATAGATTTCTAGAACAGAGCAACTGTTTTCGAGTTATTGGGATTCGAAATAATCGATGCATTCGAATTATTTCCATGTGGCTCTTAAGGCACCTCTAGTGAATATCAGAAAAGATACGCCAGTGCATTTTTCTTCTTTCATTCAATATTCTCCTACACACCGAGGTGGGAAGTGATTCATTCCTGTCGTGAGATTATCGCTATAATCTCGAGACAGGAATGAAACTCCCTACCGAGGTTTGTATACTATTTTATTCACAACCATCATATTTCGATCAAAATTAATAAATCTATGTTTCGTTCTGAACATACCTGAATTATTACATGAGTGAGGGCGGGACGTAAGGGCATGAAGTAGTGAGGGGCGGGAAGTGAAAGCGGGAAGTATAGGTGTGTAATGTGACACTTCCCAACCTTCAATGACGTTAGTAATGACAACATTACATATATTGTTGTAAATAAAATATTGTTACGTTATTCGGGTGCAGAAGCGAACACGATACTATTTATTTTCGAACTGATTTATTTAAACTAAAGAAACACTAATTTATATCGAACTTATAACTACTATTTATGTGAAACGATTCATATCACACGGTATATATCTGTCTCTCTGACACTCGCTGCTTAACTGCCTGACAGGCAGCAGTTGTTCGGCCGTTTATATATGAGATCACTTGGCAGGCTTTGGTTCGAAAAGGTTCTCGAATGATCTTCCGTCTCATTCTTTTTATTCTACAAGCTTCTTAGAACAAAACCTCTCTCTCTAATTGTTCCATCGATTGTTTCCAGAACATTCCAGAATCTTCTGTGACGTTATTTGTCACTGCGGCATATATTGAGTGTTCGGAAATATGCTGGTGTATGTAGGAATCATTAAGAGGTTGGAGAGCAATCTGGGATGCGTGATACAGGATGATCGTTGTACTCCTGCCTTCCTGCTGATGTTTCTAAAGCCCCTCCAAGGGGAATATCATTACAGCAATATGATTCTAACTTCTTTGTACTTACTTTTTTGGACTCTTCCAATTTAAAAAATAACAACAAGTGAGTACTTATTGTCATGTTATTTCAATCCGTTCTTATGACAGTGAAGTTAGTTGTCTTCTGTACTTGTCTTACCACTTCGGTAGGGGTTAGATTTACCTCGATAGCCCAGAAACTTTCGGAGAATTGATGGACTCCCACCTCTCATTCCCAGATTCTTCTTCTTAGGTGAAGGTTTCTGGCAATCGATTTCAGGCCTATCCAATGTTGGTGGCGTCAGTGATGGTTTGTTGTCTTCTGTACTGGTGATCCAAGCTTCTTTAACTAAAGTGTAATTCATCTATGATTACTGTTATCATTATTAGTATTCCGATTCCTAGTTTTTAATGAAATTGAAGAAAAATAGTTTTCCTTTCTTTTTGTCACTCCAAATTACTGGCATTGATTATTTCAAATCCCAATAACTCGAAAACAGTTGCTCGCAGCGACCTTTACCAAGGATATATTTTTCACACAAAAGTGTTCTAGAAATCTATTCGTCTACTATAAAACATTATACAGGTACGCATGAAAAAGTAATGACTTTTTAACATACTCAAAAGACATGTAGGTGGCGCCACCCTCACGGAAGAGACAAACTAACGTAAAATTTGATATTTTCATTAAAAAATACCAGTAAACACCAAATTTCATTCCAATATCACAATTATTTTGGAATTCATCAACAAAAAACAAAAATAAGAATTCAACTTTGACACTCTGTATCTCAGAAACGGATAACTTTCGGACCTATGTCACAGATTAACAATACGAACTTTTCTACCTAGCTATCTTCCAGCATTATGGAAAAATACCCGACCTGTACGAGATGGTGAACAATCTTGCAGGGAATCGGTGTTAATTTTGGTGCTGCTGCTAGTCTTTTGTTATTTTCAATGTACCATGTATTATGTATTGACAAGTTCTACGCCTATTTTTAGGCTCTGATTTCAGAGAACAAATAAATATTATCTATCTATCTATCTGCTCCGGCACCCCCACGTCTTACATGGCATTACAATTCAGGAGATTGGGACGGTCTCCGCATGTTTTTCTCCGAGTTGCCTTGGCATAGAGTATGCTTTGACTCTGAGGACCCTTTACAGTGAGCTGCGGAAATATCCGAGATCATCATGCTCGGAATGGAAACAAACATATCTCATTCTTCGAAAAGATCATCACCATCGACACCCTGGTTAAAAAAAAAACTGTTCTAGAACTGTTGCCTTGAAACAAACAGCCTACCATCGCTGGCGCGAAAACCCTATAACCTCGCGAGTAGAGCAGAATACGTTGATGCCATGAATAACTGCAGCCCCATGCTGCAGCCAAACAATAGATGCTTCGAAAGAAACATACGCCAAGATAAGATCGAAACCCATAGATTGTCCCAATGGCTCCCGTTCGTTTTGGTCCCTTGCTAAAGCAGTCGGAAGAAATTTCACTAATAGTTCATTTCCACCACTGTCCAAATCCGACGGCACATTAGCAACAACATCGCTGGAGAAAGCAAATATTTTTGCAGAGATGTTCGCAGCAAACTCTACTTCAGATGCCCAAGGAGAAGTGTCGCCAGACATTCCACCCGTTGATAGAGTCGAATGGCCGAAATCGTCTTCCGTCAACGCACTATCAGACGAATTGCTTGGTCTCAAAACGAATAAGGCTAACTGTCCTGATGGAATTCCACCCATTATCCTCAAAAAATGTGCACCAGAATTAACACCGATTTTCTGCAAGATTGTTCACCATCTCGTACAGGTCGAATATTTTTCCATAATGCTGGAAGATAGCTAGAGTCCAACCAATCCCCAAAAAAGGGAACAAGAACCTGCCCAACAACTACAGGCCCATTGCCATGTTATCAGTAATCTCCAAAGTGATGGAGAAAGCCATCAATATTGAGCTTACCAAATATCTGGAGAGCTCAGGAATCATCAATGATAGACAATACGGCTTTCGTCACCGAAGATCTACTGTAGATCTACTTGCCTACGTCACCCATTCATGACAAGCTTCATTAGTAAAACACGGGGAATCTCTAGCTGTCGCGTTGGACATATCGAAAGCATTC